AGCCTTTCACTAGTTTAGACTTCTGAATATTTTACGAATAGATCTTCTCAATTTAGTTAGCTGCCAAACCAAGTTGGTGTTGCTACTAAATGCAAGGTATCAGGTTGTATTATACCATGAACTTACTCACACCTATTCAATTCGTACTCAAGAATCTTTGCTAGATTAAGTATTAACTGGCATGACCATTAAAATCTGTACTACTTCACCTAACTTAGGATTTCTACTATGCAGGTCCTCTGCTCGTAAATTCTATCTTGATTTATTCATGTAATGCAACTCTAATATTCCGTTATACTTTTAATGTCTAGACAACATTAGTACAATGTGATTTATAGGGTTACAAACTCAGAAATGAACAGAGTTTATCATAAGTAGATACAGATATTTAGGTAATTATTCAATTCTGTCGATAGTGGGATTTGAACTCTAGACCTCTTACATGCCAGTTCAACAACCTATCTACTACACTAGATTATCAGATCTTTGGTATTATAGAGTCTAAATTACAAGCAAATAAAAATCAGATCTTAGCCTAAGTATAATAAAAAATGATGTCAGCAGAATGTGCAAAGCAATCAAATAGAAGAAAATATCTGAAAGTTAGCTAATATATCTAACTAATAGTATACTTCTACTAAGTATTGAATATAGACTGCAAACAATATTCCTTAGCAAGTCTATTTGCAACAATTTACAAAGACCTATTTGGATTTTAATTAAAAACAAATTAGAGTTAGCAAAATCTACAGCAAACTCAATCTGTAGTCATATTGGCTTCATAGATCTAAGATTAATTTAGCAAACTCAACTTGTATACTATATTACTAAACTAACAATACATATAAACTAGAAGGAAATATTAGGAAAACTACTAGATTAAGAATCAAAAAAAAGTAGCTACAAAGTAAATACTTAAGTAGTCTGATAAATAAGAATTGTAAGCTAAACAAAATAGTACTTAAGTATAATCTAGTACTAAGAGTATTCTAAGAATTAGCTAAACTAGATATAGAGATAAAGGAGTTGACTAAGAACTCAAACCTACTTAACATAAGAAGAACTGAAATTGCAAACCTGCTAAGTGTCAAAGATTCATATACTTTTATGAATTTAGACAAAATGAATCTCTTTATTCTCAAATAGCTAATAGACTACTCAGTAGATTTGCTATTAACTTGATGATAATTAAAATATATAAAAGGTATGAAAAGAAAAAGATGTATACCAAGCTAGTTTACAAATTTAAAAAAAAAAATCCTAAAAAGAGAAGACTTAAGAGATATACATGATATATACAAGGTTGAAAGACCAAATAGAAGTGCAATCAAAGTATAGCTAAAGAAAATATCAGAAGACAAAAGAAAGAATAGTTTTTATTCAAGAAAGAAGGAAGATTACACTTGAGTAAAACTATAAGCAAAACTAAGAAAGATGTAGTAGCAACTCATTAGAGAAAAAATAAAGACTTAGCAGGATACCAGTTCTTCTCTAAATATGATAGATGCAACTTTAGAAGCTTCAATAATTATGACTACTTAATAAATATCAACTTTAAGGATTAGTACCAAGTAGTAGATATATTTAGAAAAGAAGATAAATACCTAATACTAGAAGCATCTATAACAGTGTTTATAATAGCTAAGAAAATAGTTGATGATAGCAACTCTAGACAAGAACTAAATATAGAAATTATAGCAAACAGTCTTGAATTTGCAATCATTCAAAATCTAATAAAAAAGAATACTTAAGAGAAGATTTACTAGAAATATATAAAAGATTAAAAGAGAAGAAGGTAATTAAGTACTATACAGATAGAGTATTAGAAAGTGATAGTAAAAGTGTAGATGCAGGTAGAATAGATATTAGATAAGTAGTTAAAGTAAAGAATTTAGTAGGTAGAAATATTAGCTTTAGTAGTAGTTTAGAGAATTGGTCCTTCTTAACATATGCTAAGCTAGGAGCTATCTGATTAGCCTTTCTTATAGCATTATATGAAACTGAAATATATATATTTACAGATAGTAAAGCTATAATAGAAGCTCTGAAAAAAGATAATACAAACAACAGAATATGAAGCTGATTCAAGCTAAGAAACAAAAGTATAATAAGTCAAATCAAAAGCTATTACAAAGCAAAAAACTTAGATTTGATACTATACAAAGTTAAAAGTCATAGTAGAAACAAATGAAATGATTAAGCAGATAGGTTAGCTAAGGATAGAATGAAAAAATATATAAGTTTTAATATACTAGAGACAATATCTAGCAACCTAATAGCTATACCTAAATGAAAAAGTTGAGCAATTAAAAGCTCTCTTAGATTTTTTATAAATATTATTATAGCAATAGCATATGAAACTAAGTAGGCAAATCTAAGCAAAATAGCAAAGATAGTATCATATAACCAAAACTCAAATTCCAATATAGAGCTAAACTAGAAAATCACATAGAACCTGCTTAAAGAATACAAGACAAAAAATGTATTAGTTTAAAAAAGAGCAGAGCTCTCAAGTTCTATATAAAATGTATAAACAAAATTCTACTTACAAAAGACATCTGCTTTCAAAAGAACTTTAGACTTTACAAAAGCCAAAGATACATAGCTTGCTTCTGAAAAGATGAAACTTTTTACTACTTAGCAGAATATGAAATCTATTAAAGAATTTGAGAAAAAGTTGAAATAGAAGTTTTATAGCTAACTAGCTTAGAAGTTTCAACAAAATTAGATATAACAATAAGTGAAAATTCACTGAAGGAAATAATTTATAATGCAAAACCTGAAGAAAAAATGCAAAACAGAAGAATGTATCTAAGCAAACTCACAAGCATTAAATAGCTTATAAGCCTAAGCAAAGTAATACAGTCAAAAAAGAAGGCATACAGAATCTTAGTTAGCTTTGTGAAACACTTTTAGAAGTATTTTTTCAAATATCTGTAGAAGTTTTGGTGTAAAGTTATGACTAATTGAGAAAAGGAAAACAATATCATAACTAAGAATAAAAAAAGAAAATAAAGCAAAAAAAAATATAAAGACAAAAAAAATGCTCAATCTAATGATATAAAAAAAGAAGAGACAAGTGAAAAAGATAAGAGAATACAAAAAGAGGTATTAGAAAGGGTTAATACATAGGTATAAACTAGTAAAAAAGAAGTGTAGTTAAAATTAAAAACAAAATAAATGATCTTGATACAGACTAGTAGTAGCTTCTCATAAACCAAAGGCCTAGAGTCTATACCTGCAGACTAAAGTCTTTACAAGAGAAATTGTTATTGCAGCAGATCGTATATAGATACCTTATAGTAGCTAAGTAAGTTCAAAATAGTTGAAAAAGAGTATTTTATTATAACTTAGATAGTAATTTACTTTGTAATATATGTAAGCTTTTCCTTAATAAAATAATAGACAAGATTGTCAAAAAAAAAAAAATAAATAAAGGAAATTACAGAGGATTTTAAAAATTTATAGTTATAATTTGCAAACATGATGAGCTGTGATATCTTTCCTTTGAGGTACTTTCAGATGCTCATATAACGAGGCTGAAGGTTCTAAGGTTAAAAGTTACTATAGCAGATCATACTTAGGTACCAAAATGGTAATTGAGTAAGTTAGTACTTAGAAATAATCACTAGATAGTAGAATATACTAAATAGTTTAGTTTTAATTGTAGATTAGAATTTGATTAAATAAAAGTATTAGCATGATTGCTGAATTAAAAAAAAAAAAAAAAATGTTTATTCAAAATTTTAAAAAATTTTTGTTTTAATAAATATTTAAAATATTTTAATAAAATTTTTTATTTTATTTTATGAATTTATAAAATTCAAATAAAAAAAGTATTATCAAATTAGATTTAATAGTTATTGAAATATCTTTAAAGTTTCAAATAAATTTTAACATAATTTTTATTTTGATAAATATTTTAAATTTTTTCAAAACTTTAAACAAAAATATCTCAATAATTTTCAACTAAATTGAAAAACTTTCTTTTGTTTTAATTCTAGGTGTTCGTAGAATTTAGATAAAAAAAAGTTTATTGAATTTAGCTTAGTAACTATCAAGACATCTTTACTCAAAGTTTTAGAAAATTTTGGTGCAATTATTGTTTTGATAGATGTTTTGATTTTTTTTTTAAAAAAAAACTTTGAACGAAGATATCTCAACAGTTTTCTAACTAAATTTGATTAATATTTGTTTATTTTAATACTATGAATTAGTAGAATTTAAATAAAAAAAAGTTCATTGAATTTGATTAGATAGCTGTTGAGATATCTTCGTTCAAAGTTCTATTAAATTTGTAGTTGTTTTTGAATTTTTTAAAACTTTGAGCGAAGATATCTCAACAGATATCTAACCAAATTTGATAACTTTTTTTTTTATTTGAATTTTACAAATTCATAGAATCAAAATAAAAAGAAGTTCATCGAATTTGGTTAGATAACTGTTGAGATATCTTCGCTCAAAGTTTTAAATTTTTTTTCAAATCTAAGGGGGTACGAATATCAGCCGCCTTTTAGCTAATTAAATATGAGTTATAAACAGAAGCAGAATTTAAATTTTTTACAATTGATTTTGCAAAATTATTTATTTTTTTAAAAATTGCAGAAACTACGAATTAATAACTGCAGAATTTGGGTATTGTTACTGCAGAAAATCATCGTCCCTGGTCGGTATATCCTAATTTAAAACAAGGTTAACCAAGATTGAAATTCATATCACGATATCTAGCATCGACTAATAAAATAGAAAAATGCTCAGAAAAAAATTTTTCCAAATATTAAATATTTTAAAATGCCCGAATATTTGGATTAATTGAAATTTTAGATAGTTGAATATGTTTAAAAAACGCTGAATTTTATAAAAATTTTTCATGTCCCTGATAGGAGCTTTTTTAGATTTATCCTTTATTATTCACTCAAAAAAAAAATTTTTTTTTTTTGAATAACGTTCGATTCATTATTTGTCACAAACAGAATCAAGTGTCAAATGTTCGAAATACGTCATACAGTTCGAAAACTATCAGGTGTACCCTCAGCCGGTTTTTGATTAACATCATTTATATATGCATTATGTGCTTCTGACCAAATGTATTTATGTTGCAATAATTTTTGAATTCTACTATATGCTTCTACATTTGCGTATGGTATACCAGTTTTAGAGTCCTTATATTTTGCAATAAGTCCAGTAAAAGGACATAATACTTTTTTCGCCCCTATTTTAAATTTTAGGCGATGAAATTAATTAGTTTATTTAAATGTATGAAGGGGCATACATAAAATACTTACTTTGTGGTTTTTTCTTCCATTCTTGAAATAGTTTAGCCTCTTCTACTTTTGAGAACTGAGAAAATATCAGTAAATTCCTTACTTCTCTATTATCCTGATTTTGATTTTCAATTTCGACATTGTTCATAGTGCAATTTAAATCTTTTGATTCCGTTATATTCTCAGTATCTTTTGATTCCGTTATATTATCAGTATCTTTTGATTCCGTTATGTTATCAGTATCTTTTGATTCCGTTATATTATCAGTTACATTATCCGTTATATTATTCGTTATATTATCCGTTATATTATTTTTTCTTTCATCATCTACCGAGACTTCTGTTATTAATTTTGGTCTTTTTACTTCTCTTTTATTGTCACCAATAACATAAGAAATCTCTCTAATAAAAGGTCCGTTCATGATAATTTTTTTTGATTGCTTAGCAGACATTTTCTTTTCAGCCTCCCTTAATTCAAAAGCGCGAAGAGATGCTATATTTTTTTCCTCTGTTTCTTTAGCTTCTGCAAGTAATTCTTCTTGAGTTTTACGCTGAACAATCACTTTTTCACGTTTTGGATGTGCTGCCTATATTAACGATAAAATCACAGTGAGTAAAATAACGTATAAATTGAGTAAGAAAAGATTAAAGAGTGAACCTTTTTTTTTTCATATTCTTTCAATTTTTCTGCCAACATTTGTTTACTTTGAACTGTTAGAGAACGAGACGATGATCTAACACCATGTAAAAGTGGTGCTATAAATGAAATTTTAATCCAAATCATATATATGCATGTATATGTTTACGGTTAATAAAATAATATCTTACTTGTATTGGATGATTTCTTCTTTTTATCAGATATAATATTCGAGGATTCATCATTAACACCTTGATCTGGAATAGTTTTAGGTGTCACTGGAACTTTATCAGTATCCTTTTTTTTAAACCGTGAAGCTGGACCTGGAAATGGTAAACTTGACTTTTTCGATCTCTAAAAAATATTATATATGTATTTAGAAAAAAAAATAATAACAATTCATAAAAGTTATTATTTAAACTTTGCCTACTTTTTTTTCTAGTTTTTCTTCCAACAGTATTTGCAATTCAGCTTTATCGTCATCAACTTCTGGCCCGCTGCTATTTTGATCAAAGTCGGAATCAAAATCGTCTTCCTCATCTATAAATTAGAATTAAATAAATGAGTTATGAATAATTCGATCAAACTATCGAAAATTATATCTTACCTTTAGTAACCATAAAGTCATCATCCTCAGGCATCTCTTGAAACATTTCTTCTAATTCCATTTCTTTTTGAATAAGTTCTCTCATTCTTTAAACCGATTAATGTTCGTTCATTAATAATGCAAGTATCAAAAATAATAAATAATAAATAATAATTTTAATATTAAAAGCAACCTACCGTGCGCCAGCATTCGCACGACGCTCTCTTGTTGCAACCAGTGACATTTTGCTTTTTAAAATAATATTTGTCAACTAAAAAGTTTACAAAGTGAACAAATATATATTGCATATAATATAGTTATTTAGGTGTAAACTAATATTAAGCGTATCAAAAAAAAACAAAAAGGAAAAAGGATGTCAACTGATCATCGCATTTTTGCAAGATATAAAAACGTTTGAAAATTAAACCAAGAATATGGTAACCAATAGGTGTCGTAATACATGAACCTATTCATACATGCCTTTTTAATTATTGAATCGTGATATCTCGTGACCACATAGGGGAAAAAAAAAGATGATATCAAGTTATCTAGCCAATAAACGACGTCGGATTATCATTTAAAGACACGCATCGAGAAAATTGCACTTCCTCTTTCGAATCCACTTCGTTTTAAACGCACGTCGGCAATCATGGTGGTATGTCATAATATTAAATCGATCATTGGAAATGATCTAAAAGCATGTAGTTTGAACTTAACCAGTAAAAAATTTTTATCATAATTTATATCAGAAAGGTTCTTTCAAGCGTTTTGTCGAAGTTGGTCGAGTGGTTTTCATTAACTATGGTGAAGATGCTGGCAAGCTCGCTGTCATCGTTGATATAATCGATCATAATAGGGTATGTTTTGTTTTCAATAACGTTTAAAAAAAATTGCACAATCAACGATTTACTCAGATCTAAGAGTACTTTGACTATGAATCTGTTAATAACTCTAATCAAACTTTATTAACAATGATAGGCCCTAATTGATGGTCCAACCACCGGTGTTACCCGTCATTCTCATGCATTCCGTCGTCTAACCTTGACTGATCTTGTAATTAAGGACTTTCCCAGAGGTGGTCGTTCGTCTATAGTAAAGAAATATCTCGAAAAAGAAAATATTTTAGAGAAGTGGAATAAGACATCTTGGGCAAAGAAATTGGAGAGTCGTAAAAAGAAAGCCGCCTTGACAGACTTTGATAGATTTAAAACACTAAAGTTAAGGAAACAGGTAAAATTAATATGAATTCTTCTCATTTAAACCATTTTAGAAATTTCAAGTTAAATGTTCTATTTATATTGATTAGCGTCGTCGCGTTATTCAAGTAAATATTGCTTCCATTAAAAATAAAGCGAAGTCCTAACGAATATAACGTTTTAGGTAGAAATTTTTCTACACTAGCGTAATCTTTTTAACGAATTGCATGTTTTATTTGACATACTATTAATTCAATATCTTTTATCAAGAGTAAAACATTATTAGTGTTATAAAAATTTGTAGTCTTCTAGTTTTAAAATCGTTTAATATAACATTCGCAAAGTGGGCACTGTTACTATCTTCTAACTTCAGTATAAATAACATGCAAGCTCATCCTTTTGTTTTGATATAAAATTACTAAAAAATGATCTTTTATTATCAATGTATATGTATATCTGATAATATTTATATATATCTGATAATATTTATATATATCTGATAATATTTATATATATCTGATAATATTTATAGTGGAAATTATAGCAAGTAAAACACGAATACAAAATACGGCTAATATGATTTTAAATTATAGATTTTGCCAACCATTATTTCGCATAAACGCAGTTATTATATTTCAAAAAGGCAACCATCTACAAATGTATACTAAATAAAGCGAGTTATAAATTATGGATACCTTCTTGACATATAATATCGGAGTTTGTATGAATTTGGTTGGTAAATCTTATAAAACACATTAATAAACAAATTAGATAAAATAGTTCAACTTAATAATTAGAATGGTTTATGCTTCTTTAAATGAAATACATCGTATTATCTATAAAAATATATATATGTGCGTGTGTACATTAATCATATAAGAACTCAATTACTAGAACAACTCATATATTTTAATAATTCAGACTAATACCAAAGCCAAAATTAAATATGATCACAAACGTTAGGAATACGTACCTTTAGCTAAGCTTTCCTTAACTTCCTTCAGAACAAATTCTGTTTCACCACGTTGCTGTTGTTCCAAATGTAATCTAACCAATACAAATATAGCTCAGACCCAAATCAAAAAAGGTGAAATGCAACATAAAAATTGACTTATTACCGTGCGCGCTTTGCAGCCAAATGTGCGTAATCTAAAAAATTATTTGAAGTTTAGATTATTTAAAGTAATCATCGAACGATGTAAATGATAGTAATACTTACAAGCAGCAGGTGAGATCGATACTGATCGCGTTGCACTATATAATAAATTATTAAATTTATATCAGAACAAGAATCATTATACAGTCAGACCTCTTTAAACACACATTCGATAAATGAATCTATACCGTTGATAATTGTAACAGAGCTTATTTGTCAAGTCTTGCATACTATCGGCGTTAAAATTATTCTCGTCAAAAAGGACATGATCTACAGGTTAAAATAAAAAATAAAAAATAATCTTTAAAATGTTTCAACCACAAAATTGACAAGGTAATAAAACATACATACAATGTGCTGGCCGTGATGTTCCATGTAAACTCGAATGTGATTGTAGGACTAACAACATGTAAATATTAATAAAATAATATGCATCAAAGTGATCTGATCGTAAAATAAATAAAACTTACAAAAATCAAATAAATATGGATGTGTTATTTTCCGGTCAACAACTGTGCCAGCAACACAGTTACCTTTGCTACAAAATATTTAAATACGTGAATATTATATGAAATTTTCACATCATTTATTTGAGATAACTTTACCTGTCAGCATCACGCTCATTTTGTGGATAAAATCGTGTATGGTGTCTTTTACCTACGACAACAAAAGTTATTGGAGGTCTATAATTCTCTTCTGCTTTTGCACAAGCTTCTATAAACATTTACACACGCAATAAGTTAAATACAATATAGGATTATTAGAAATAATATTAACACAATTGTATAAGTAGCTTGCCTTTAATCTGTTCGAGTTCATGAGTCAACACCATTTCAAATTGACTTTCAGACACTCCATCTCGATACATAATAATTCGTCGTGGAAAAATACTATTTTTATCACGATAATCTTTCAAAATTTCAAATACCATGCCACCCATATTTTCAATCTTTTCTTGCCTGGTTTTTTGACTTTCGAGTTTTGGGGTAAAACGACCGCCTTGACGATCGAGTGAACCAACAACTGCACAAATAGAGGGCATATCTTTGTAGAAATAACAATAATAAATTTACATGAATATAAATAAAAAGGAATATAGAAAAATTATGTAAATTAAAGACTTCGAGCTGAACATACTTGAAGGACCAGCACGTCCACCAGTCGGATGTGTGACATCGGCACCAAGCAGTAATACCGGCTCTTTTGCGAAAAGAGGTATTTCAGTATCTTCAAGAGATTGGTTTATTCCTCCCAGCTTTAAATTTATTTTTAATGCAATGTTTGCACAATATTGTTTACTTGTTCTTCCAACTTTGTCAACTTGGACACATTGTGAAGGGACGCCAAGAACTGTATCTGCAGTGTATTTGATTGCTCGATATCGTTTTTCGTCATCATCAGGAAGAATAAATAACATTAATTGAGGATCGTTCTTTAGATAAGCCTTAGCGTTATTATATTCTTGCTCAACATGATGTTGATAGGTATGTGGTTCACCATTGGGTCTAACGTAGTTGACTCTTGGATTACTTTCCGCAATATCCTGAGGAAAAAAAAAAAAAAATTAATTTATTATACTAAAAATTATAAAGTAAATTATAATAGATTCACTACCATTCCTTGACTTCGACTTGTATTTACAAGTTCTTTTACAAATTGTTTGGCTTGTGGAATTGATAACTTTTGTTGCTGAACAAATGCAACTACCACCCAATATTTAAGCGTTTTACCACTCCTGACAAACTTTCGATCGCGAAGATTCCATCCACCTTCACGAGGTTTAACGGTGCCACCTGCTTTGGATGTTATGTGATATGATACTTTGGGAGCTTTCAACACGCGAGCTTTATTATTAATTTATTAAAGCACAAGGCATACAATGATTAGAAGCATATAAATGTAATTGAAATACAATAAGCTTTATTATTATTTAAACTATAAATGCCTGGAATTGTTGCCATTTGTTCTTCAACACCCATTCCAAATTTTTTCAATTTAGCATCTTTCTCGAATTGTAGGACATTCCGAACACCTTCATTAATTCTATCCATGTTTTCTTGAGGACGCAACGCTGTATGCTTAATCATATGTCCTCTTTGAGCGCTAGATAGCTTTGCAACAGGAAAGCGTTGACCCTGAAATTTTAAAAAGTAAATATTGAATCAAAAATAACTATATTATTTTAAAATAGTACCTCAATAACATTACATAATTCAATTGGGATCTTGTCATTCTTTCGACCTTCAAGTTCGACGAGATGTAGATAGTTTAAATTTATCTTATATCTTCGTTGGTAATATGAATAAATACTGATTTTTTCACCAGATTCTGGAATATCAACCATGTTTTCGCGCGCATTAGTGGAGCATAGCTTTTTAATCTTGAATCGTGTACTAACTTTAGGGCGATGAGTGACTTTGAATTGCAATCCACGAACGAGCTCGGTAACTTTATCTTGTTGTTGTTGATTGAATCGATCCGGAGTGCTGTCTAATTTAAGATACTTAGTAATTAGATTGTGCAAAGGTCCCGGCTCGTAAAAAACAGTATAAGTAGTGTTAACATTAACAAAATAGCTGTCTATTTTAGTTAGAATATAAAATAAATTCAACAATTCAAGAAAAAAAAAAAGAAGCTAATTAGAGATTAAGATGGTTTAAGTCAAATATACCTTGTCCAGGCCTTACGCTTTCAAACCAACCCATCCATAGTTCTACACCGCCACCCAAAGATTTACGCGTCGAAGGTAAATAAGTGGATTCACCAAACTGAGTATATTTCATCGACGGCATATGATGTATTAGTGCATTAAGTCCTCTAAGGCCGGCTGTAATTTTTAGAAAGCCACCGAATAAGATAATTAATTAATTAGTTAATATTATTAACACAAAGTTGTAAAATGAAATTATTATTTTATAATTTTTTACCTAAATCAAAATATTCCCATTTAATTTCTTTGCCTTCAAGAAATTTTTTTAATTCATCTATGTCGACTTTATCAACCCTGCGAACCTCGACTTTATACTCGGTAGGATTCCCTCTAAAGTCCTGATCATCCTTAAGAATGACCTATAAATATGATGGGGTAATGATAAAATCGACACCTATACATATTAGTAATTAAAATCCTTATATAAAGTAAAAAAATCGCGTATCTCCCGCACATCTCACCGATGTTGTCCCATGATCAGAATTCAAATTTAAGAGATCTGTAGAATACACGGTCGCGTTTCCTGTTTATAATTGAAATAAGAGTTGAAATCGCGATCAAACATATTGTCGAATGATTTACAAAAATTTTCAGCACATTATGCAAACTAGAAAGTAAAATCACATTAATGAATATATCTAACAAAGGATTATATTAAAGTACCATCAAAAACGACGCCAATTCCTTTGAACCACCCGTTACGTTCTTGTTTTTCTAATTGTTGAAATATAGCGCGTTGGATGTGAGGTGGAAGCTGTTTTGGTTGTTTAGTAACTTTTCTGCGATTGGAACCTTCGCCCTCGGGCCTTTGTTGAGGTTGCAATTTCATTGAGATCTCATACTTTTCAAAATATGCTTTATTTGCGATCTGAGGTAATACGGGAACTCATGAGACTATATGGAAATGTGATCTGATCCTATTTAAAGGAAAATTATAAATTACCTTTTTAACTTCAAAGTAGTTAGTAAGAAGTTGAGTTTGTCGTCCGAACTTGCCATAGCCAGGCCGTTTAGCCATGCTTTTTATGGCTTCCTCTCTTAAGGCTTCTTGACGCATTACCTAATACCTTCGTTGATAGACTGCATGAAAGATCTTGGAAATTAAATTTTTCACTTGTATATGATTAGAGTTGTGAACCTGGCCGGTCAAAAATTTACAACCGACCAAGCCGATAAAATTTTATCGACTTAGCCGAAAAAACTTTGAATTGAATACGCTCGTATAATATTATTAAATGAATAATATCTACTTACGGCAATTCCCGATATATTTTACATAGCCTTATAAAAATCGACAGCCGCATTTGAAAAAAATCGACCAACCGGGTCGAAAAATCGGCTTAGCCGTTTTTTTTTTTTTTTACAATATTCTTGTAAATATCCTTTTCTTCATGTTAAGAAATATTGTATAGTACTTTAATCTGATTGGATAACGAAACCTTTAGTAGCAGCCATGAATATTTAAAATATTTTAAGAAAAAATTGTTACAGATATCACAACTATTTTTTTTATCTTTATTTTTTTTAAACCTGAGATACAATAAGAAAAGGTTTAGAAAACCAAATGCTTTTTTTTACTAGCCCTAAAGTATTATAAAAATTAGAGTTGACTATGATAAGATTATCGCCAATCTTAAACCTGTCGGATCATAAGGATATTCCTATGGTGCATATAATAAATACCAAGCCCTATTTAATCTCTTCGTTCTAATAAAATCTTTTTCAATCGCTTTTATTTGTTTTTCCCGGAAAATTTTCATAAGACTACAATACGAAGAATGTTGCTCATCCGTTGAATTCTAGTATTAACAGTTAGGTAACGGGTAGTATAACTGATAATAATTGCTGCGCAAGGTACAGTACGTGCGTTCGTACTTAGGTATTTCATTATCAGTTACTGTTATCCCACGTGATAAAAGTAGGTGCTAGGTATCTTATATCAACTTATTTAGCAATTCATATGGAATTTATAGGTGACTGATATTTCCACACATTTTTTGATAATTCGACATTCCTACCTAGTAATTTTGATTATTTATATTCATATTTGTACATTTGTTGATGAAGGCATGTTAGAGGCAATACAACGTAATGTAAGGTGGATCAACATTCCGATTGCCACCATCGTTGTGAGAGTTCCTTCTCACAACGTAATATAAGGTAGGTCAACATTCCGATTGCTCACCATCGTTGTGCGTGCGAGTTCCTTTCTACATGTTCATTAATTATAACATGTAGTATTCCTATACGAGAATCGGTGAAAGGGCTATCATCCCGTATAACCCTTCAAAGTCTTGCATGACCTTAGCATCTATACAAGAATCGGTGAAGAGCTATCATTCCGTATAACTCTTCAAAGTCTTGCATGTTTTCTCAGCCCGACTAACCTTGCGAATTGTATCCATATTACTAGTGACTATTTTCATTTCCTTTAAACCATGTTCCTTTAGATGATGAAGGTCCATTTTTAATTTATAAGTCTCTTTTTTCAAAACGAAATCGGTTTGTTGCATACGGTATTCATAATAACCAAGAAAGCTATAATCTTTCGGCTGTGTTATGTCGAAATAAGTAGTACTCCATAGTACATGATTACTGTTTGAGAAGGAATTTACGCGATTGTTTATTTGTCTAGTTTTTAAGTCGCCAACAATAAAATATTAATAAAAAGTCTCATCGTTCATGTGTTTCATATATATACCACGTGATCACACATACGCTATTTGTAATATTTTGTGAAACACAACATATCGATTCAACATATATTGTTTCCTTTTGTGGATTTTGTACCACCAACACATTCGCGTTTTTGAATGATCACAACAACATACAATACAATTCCTAAAACTATAAATACACCTAAATTTAGGGATGGTAATTGGTTTGGGGCAAACTGGTTAGCCATATTTTAAACCAAACCAAATTTAAGACGGCTTAAACTAGTTTAAGCTTCGGTTTGATTAGTTTAATTGTTTAATATTATGCATATATATGCGATATATGCATACAATTACAACAATTAAAAAATAACGATAACAGGTAGTAATAACGTTAACAATAGCGGTTAGTATTAAAAATACTAACGCTAAAAGTAATAAAGAAATTAGCATTTGAGTAATTCGCGAGATAGAAAGCTTTACTAGTAGTTACGGACAATTACTTGATAATTGTCTTAAGTTTATATAAATTAATAAAGTTTTTTTTTTTTAATTTTGTTTTCAAAAAAAATGTCTGAAATAAACATTTAAGATATATTCAATGATCTTGTTCGATCTTTTAATGATACTGAATTTAATTTAGATACTTTGTCAACTCAATCATTACAAGTTGAGAGTGGTAGACCTATTCGCTATACTAAAAAAAAAAGAAAATCCGAAATGGATAAATTTTTTGATCAATCTAATATATCTCAAAATTGTAAATACTGTTCTATAACATATGCGCTTTCAATATCAACTAGAACCTTAAAAGAACATGTTAAAAAAAATCACCTAGAAATTTATAAACAAAAAACCAAAACTGAAATTATCCCTTATAATCAGCAAGAACGTCACGAATATAATAAATACTTAATTAAGTGGATAATTACAAGTTTACAACCATTTTCAGTAACGGAGGAGGAATCATTTATTGAAATATTAAAAAAATTTAATCCGCGTTACAAATTACCATCTCGACATTATATTAGTTCGTATGTTGTAAAATTATTTCAAAATCAACAAAAAGATTTAAATGAAGATCTACAAAAAATTTCTAATAGGGTCGCATTAACAACTGATATATAGATGTCAAGAAATAATTATTCCTTTTTAGGAATAACAATTCATTGAATAGATAGTAATTGGGAAATGTGCAAGTTTTTACTAGATATAATTCCTTTTAACGAATCACATACAGGTGCAAATATTGCAAAAACATTAATGACTTTATTAAAAGAATATAATTTAACAACAAAAATTATATCATTAACAACTGATAATCATACCGTTATGGTTGCTTGTACCTGTCAGCTATCTAGTGAATTAGCTAATTTTGGTAATTTTTTGTTTTCACATCAGCGATGCGAAGCACATATACTAAATTTAGCTGTACAATATAGTCTTCAAGTACATAGTGAAGTAATTGAAAAGGTTCGAATTTTTATGAAAAAAGTTAAAAAATCTAATTTATTAATAGCAAGTTGGTGCAGATTATTTGAATTAGACAGATTTCTATATTTGGGTCTAGAAATAGATACGGAAATACGTTGGAACTCAACATATTTAATGTTAATTAAATTTTTAAAAATTCGAATACAAGTAAATATGCTTATTGCTCAAAATTCTGATGATTTTAATGATTTAATTTTTACAAATAACAATTGGGCTAATATATATGTAAGTGTTTAAACATTATTGTAAATTTTTATTTTATATTATAATATCGTAATAATTTATAATAATAATAACAATAATATAGGAATTAATTCCAATTTTGAAACCCATGTATTCAGTGACTTTGTCTCTTTCTTCTTCATCATTTTCAACAATCGGAGACTTCTATTTTACTTTTTGGACCTTAAAACAAAAATTAGAATACGAAATTATTAATAATATGACACAATATATTATGGCTGATTTGATATGTCATAAATTCAATGAATATTATCTAAATATTAATGATACTATTAAAATCACAACTATATTAGATCCTCATGTTAAGTGTTCAGTTTATGAATTTGGTGATGAAACTAATAATGCAATATTTTTATTATGTAGTAAAATGATTTATTATTCAACTACTACTACACAAAATACACTAAACCAAACAGAATTATCACTAGAAAGTATATTATTTAATCAAAGTAATGCTCGTACCTATTTAAGAAATCTTGCAAATCAATTCTGCCTAACTATACCTACCCAACCTAATATTAACAATGAATTAGAAAGATATCTTGCTATTCCTATTGATGAAAATTGTAATCTATTAGAGTGGTAGAAAGTTTATAAGATACAATTTTCAGTTTTGTCAGCTATGGCATACAACTACCTTACGATTCAGACAACAAGTTTGCTGTGTGAACAAGTGTTTTCAATTGCCAGACTTACCATTTCAAAGGTACGTAACAGGTTAGATTCTAAAACTGCACGAGCGTTATTATGTCTAAAGAGTTGGATTAGTGAAAAAATTGGTGAAAATATTAATAATGTCAACATAGAAGATATTGATGATATTGATTATGAAATGGATTGTGAATGAGTTTTTTTTTTTTTTTGTTTTTTGTATTAT